ACAATATTTTGAATATTTTAAAACAAAAATTAATGCGATTTATTTTGTCTACCTAATATTCTATCATTTATTTTTCATTGTACTTTAGAGAATTTATGTTGTAAAGTAAAAAAGTTTTGATTTTTACTTTTTGTGAAAAAATTAGCTATAAAACTAGTTAATTTCTTATAATTTCTTAGCTATAAAAGTAGCAAAATTACATGAAAAAATCGCAAGAGGATATAGAAGTGAGGAAATATTATTGTTTGAGAAAACATAAAAAAGCGTTGCAACGCAAAATATAGAAAATGCTTAGTATCGACTTAATAAAATCAAGTGTGTTGAAACGAAGTGATAAATAAAAGCTGGATGAATTTGCACGAGAGACAAAAACAGATTTAAAATAATATGTTTATTTATATTTATTTAGATTTAATAGATGCTCGCGCACGGTAAGAACAAAAAATTTTTTATATGAAAAATTTCTTCAAATAAACTGTTTATAAATCTTGAGAGTAATAAGTTTTCGCGAATAGATTTTGTAAATATATCGCAGCGGAAGATCATTGATCCAATTGAATTTGAGCATTCTATAGATCGTTTGAATCCATGGAATATAAAATATAAAACAATCTTTAGATTGAAATTATAATGATTGAATTATAATTTATACTGAATACATCATATTTTGATATCTAACTTCTGTGATTGTTTTGGTCGTCTAAGTATTGTTTTATATTTTATTGTAAAAATTTTACATTTTATGAGGAATCGATTTTTTAATTTTTAACTGATTCACTTGTTATACGTCATAATTTCCTACTACCACTATATGTTTATATAAAAGATAATAATTTACGCTCATAATATATATAGGACGAGAACATATATAATATACGTAAAAAATATGTAAAAGAAATTCTATGTAATAATAACAATATTTTTTTATAAATTTCGAAAACTAAAGCTAAGTGACAATTATGTGCATAAATTAAATTATATGCATAAGATTATGCATAAGAAAAAATTATTCAAAATATTGATCTCTATAACATATTCAAAAATTATCAAAACTGGTAAAAAAATCTCTTTTTTATTATTATAATTTGCAATTATTATAAAAGAACAAATATGAATAAATAATAATATGAATATTGATATATGTGTCAATAATGAATAAATAAATAATCGATGTTTTTTTTAGAGATTATAATAGAGAAATAACAGATGATAAGACGAGACAAAAAGACAGATAATATATGACTTTTTATAAGAATTATAGACAACAGATTAATGCCATGAATTAAAATTAAAAACGATAAATACTAATAATAAATGCAATGAAATTAGAATAAAATATCCTAGAATAAATATAATATACGTAAGGAGAAATTTTTTAGATCAAAAAATATAGTTGAAATAGAAATCAAAGAAATACATAAATAAAGTAAATTTAAGTAAATACAAATATTGATAAACATTAGATTTTAGTTAGATTAAAAATTAGTAAATTACATAATAATGTATATTCAGAATGCGATATTTTTTTGAGAAAAGTCGGATGTATAGATCGACAATTGATTTATATAAGAATTTTATACTTATTATAGTAGTGATTTTCGTTATCTGAACTAATAGAGAGACAAAAGTGAAATTTTCGGATAATAGAACTATATATAATAAAATAGAATAGAATTATTTTTTTTTACATTAAACTTCATTTATTCAAGTAGAAATGAACAAAATTGACAATTTCTTTCATCTAAAGATCCCATATCTTTTTAGTCACTAAGTCACATAAATTTTTTATTGTAAGTAGCTATGTAAAATTACATTCCCATTATGCCTTAATCTACATCCTAAATCACCAGAATCTATATTCTGTATATAATTTTCAATATTGCGTTTCTGTTTTTTAATATCTGTAATTGTAGATTTCCCAACATCATATTTTCTTGCTAATTTCGTTACACTTTCACCATTTTCAAGATCTTTAATTATTTTATATTTCTTTTTAATAGTTATTAAAACTATATTTTCGTTTACTTGCCATTGTGATACTGTTTTCTTGTTTCAGACTGAATTGGTATAATTACATTTAACTGGCCGAACATAGAAAAGTATTTATTACATCTAAATATGTTATATTTATGTTGTAATCTAAGTATATTGTATGTAAACATCTGCGAAACATTGTGCTAATAACAGAACATACATATAATAGAACGTCCATATAGGATATTCGGATAATGAAGATATGAAATACATTTAAATGCTATTAGTTTCATAGCCACGAAAAAAAATTAATATATAGAACCAAAATCAGAGATTATAGTATATTGATGTTAGCATATAGTTTAGATATTATATATATATATATATATATATATAAAATTAGGTTATATATTATATATATATATAT